TCCCATATCTTCCTGAGTTCCAGATGAGTGGACTTTGACTCCTAGAACTGGCCATGGTTAAGAATTGGAAGTTGAAATCCTACTCATCTGGAGGCTGCCAAAATTGAGAAACTCCAGATAAGAGATGTGCCTTCCTTCTTTACAATATACTATTTGTTTCCTGTTTCAGAAAACTGAAAGCCCTTTTCCTGAAGCAATCTATTTGGTTTTAGCTTGAAATAACCGTTTCCTGCAAATGTGCTTTCTTCAACCCATATTTCAGTTAATTATTAGACCAGGTTTACTTAACCTCAACAACATTAAGATGTGTGGACTTCAACTCCCAGAATAAGTCAGTCAGCATGTTGACTGGGGATTGCTGGAAGTTGAAATCCACATATCCTAAAATTGTTGTGGTTGAGAAACGGCATCAGTCAATTTCCTTGAAAACAACATCAATTATTTCTGAGGGCCCATGTGTAGATTTTTGTTGTGATTCTGTAAGTCTGTTGTCCTTTGGTTCTCTGACATTTCTTCTCAGTAAAATTCTCTGTTCCATTTATAAGGTTGCAATTCCCTAGCCTTGGTGAGACTTCACTTTTTGTTGTTGTTTAGATTTTTGAACATAAATAATCTGAGATATCTTGTGAAAAAGAACAAGAAGGAGATTTTTATAGATGCTTTATATCTATGAAATGGGAGATGCAGAAAGTTAAAATGTATCTCAATTAATCTACATAGCAAAACTCATAGCTGGATTCTACACTGCAATAAGGAAGAGTGCAAAAGTCCAGAGATGCCTGAGCAACAATAGCAATAGCAATAGCACTTAGACTACTATAGCACCCCATAGTGCTTCACAGCAGTCTCTGGGTGGTTTACAATGTTAGCATATTGGGAGCAACCTCAGAAGGATGGAAAGCTGAATCAGCCTTGAGGCTCATCAGGATCGAACTCCAGGCTGTGAGCAGAGTTAGCCTGCAATACTGTATTTTAACCACTGTATCACCAGGTCTACCTTGGGGCTATCAAAATTGTTAGAGTCAAACTGTTTGATTTTTTTTTTCCTTTAAAATTTTAAACATTATAGAGGATTAATTTTCACTATCTAAACATCTTAAACCCTCCTCCAAAATTAATCCCATTTTGGGTTATGACCCTACCTACTTTTAGAGTATGTTTCCAGAGCTGCCTGCAGTTGTGAGCCCATGAACTGACAGGGCTTATTGCACCCTGATTTGTTGAATAATCGCAATGGGCTATATGAATTTACTGCATTAAACAAGAGCCCAATAAATTTCATATGGTGTGGCACTATATGGAAATCCAGTCGAATTACTGTTAAGAAAACATGGCTACTATGGTATGTCATATATACTAGCTAAAAAAATGTGAAAGAGATCCATCTGTAAGCCCTACTAGTAGAAGGATATGAAGTTGAAGTGGAGAAACACACCATCATAGCAATAATTTAGAAGCATTATTGCTTATTCATTGGGGCAATATGTGCCTTAATTCAGGACTGAGGAACCTGTGCCCTCCAGGTGGTACTGGATTTTATTTTCTATGATCCATAGCCATTGGTTATACTGGTAGTGACTTATGGGAACAAAGCCCTTCACTCCACTGCTAAGCATAGGTAACCTCTATGCTTCTTTTCATTTGTGATCTCTCTACATAACACTAATAACCGATCAGCTCTTAAGTCATTCATTTAAAAGATTTACCTGTACAGATGGTCCTCGACTTATGACCACAATTGTGTCCAAAATATCTGTGTCTAAATGAGACAATTTTGTTAAGTGAGTTTTACCCCATTTTACAATCTTTCTTGCCACATTTGTTAAGTGAATCACTGTAGTTGTTAAGTTAGTAAGATGATTGTTAAGTGAACCTGGATCCCCATGGACTTTGCTTGTCAGAAAGTTGCAGTTGTAAGTGTGAAGTCACTGCTTTCAGTGGTGTTGTAAGTTCAAACTGTCCTTAAAAGAACTGTTGTAAGTCAAGGACTACCTCTATTGTATAGGCATGAAATGGTTGGTATCAAGAATGTTCCATGGTCAGATTCTGGCAATAGTTCATTTTCTTGATCAGGGAGTTGGCAACCAATGCTATCTCCTGTTTCTAAAGGGGAGGAATCCTCTAGGTGACTATAGTTAATCCTCGACTTACAACCACAATTGAGCCTAACAATTATGTTGCTAAGTGAATTTTACCCCATTTTCTGACTTTTCTTGCCACAGTTGTTAAGTGAATCACTGCAGTTGTTAATTTAGTCACACAGTTGTTAAGTTGTTGTATTCACTGACTGACTGCAGTCTTCAATCCGGTCCGCACTTCTGGTGGGAGCACGGACCTCTCCCATTGGTCGATGCCGTTTGACAGCCGGCTATAAAAGGAGCTGTCAAATGGCATCAGCTGTTGCCGCCAGCTGACTGCCTGATAGCCCCGGCAGCCGCGGCAGCCCTTTATTCATTGAATAAAGCTTCTTGTCTGTTAGCTCCGTGTCTGCCTCAGTATTTACCGCCGCTCCACAACAAAGTGAATCTGGCTTCCCCATTGACGTTGCTTGTCAGAAGGTTGCAAAAGGGGAATCACAGGACCTTGGAACACTGCAACTGTCATAAGTGTGAACCAGGTATCCAAATTTTGATCCCATGACCATGGGGTTGTTGTAACTTTTAGCAGTCACTAAATGAACTGTTGTGAGTCGAGGACCACTTGTAGTGATAATGAAACAGTTACATAAGTTGTTGCTTCACGTTACAGAATATGTCTGGAGCCACTCAGCCATGATAAACAAATGTCTGAGATGCCAAATGTATGTGGTACATAGTCCCTGGAGGGAGAAGAAATAACATTTATGCCATCATTCTATCACCCAAAAAAGAGACTATATCTGGCATCCCATTTAGTCTAATAAACATGATGACAACAACCAAATAAAATAAAACATCCTTAAGCATCGGCAGCATGTAATTACTACCATAAGCCTGTTAGTGCTGTCAAGTTGCATAAGGAAAGTCTTATCAGAGAACAGCCAGGAAGCGAGTATAGGTCATGTAAAAAGATGAAGGGAATGGAAATCTAGCAAAAGATTAACAGTATTGCTGTCAGATTATCCACTGAATCCCCCCTACCCCCACCATATGGTTATAAGAGCCCTGGTGGTGCAGTGGTTAGAACGCAATATTACAGGCTGAGTCTGCCCACTGCCAGGAGTTTGATACTGACCGTCTCAAAATTGACTCAGCCTCCATCCTTTCGAAGTCAGTAAAATGAGGATTGGGGCTATATCAGTGGTGGGATTCAGTTATTTTTTACTACCTGTTCTGTGGGCATGGCTTAATGGGCATGGCAGGGGAAGGATACTGTAAAATCTCACTTGAGACTTTCAAGAAGAGATTGGACCGCCATTTGTCAGAAATGGTGTAGGGTCTCTCACTTGGGCATGGGTTGGACTAGATGGCCTACAAGGTCCCTTCCAACTTTCATTATCTGTGTCTGTATCTTCAGTCAGAGGTGGTATTTGCCAGTTTTCCAAACTACTCAAAATTTTCACTTACTGATTCTCCAGAACTGATCAGAACCTGCTGAATACCACCTCTGAATTGTGTGGACATTTGGATACACATAAGAACAGAAGATGGAAGGTGTTTCACAAATGTGTGCATTTTTCTGATTTGAGATTGATAGCTAGTTTTACCCTTGCTTATAACTAATCTAAATATTGATGTATTACTTTACCTGCACATTTATAAATAAAGAACAAATTTCAGAAACTTTTGTTTTTTTTGAAAGAAAAAGCAAGCAAATAAAATGCCATTTCAGTGTTATATTTAAAGTTTGTTTCATGCCAAGGGATCCATTTTTATATAATTTCTCCTTTCTGCATCACTGTTAAATAGGATTTACCAAATGCTACCATGTTTCTCACAAAATAAGGCCAGGCCTTATTTTATTTTGACCCCCGAAAAAATGGCTAGGCTGTTTTTCGGGGGTGACTTAATTCCCCCCCAATTGTATCTCGGGCTGGTGGCAACAGCTTGGATGTTGACCTTGGCATTGGTGGGGCACTTCGTATTGGGAGACTTTCCGGCACCATTGCTTTTCCTTCTCCCCATGCTGCTGTGGCGTTTAGAGCAATGCTGCAGCATTTGGCGCAGCCATGCGCGCCCAGCCAGGGCTCCTCTGTGCAACTGGCGCTCCTGTCGCCATCTTCCCTTCACCTTCGAAGGCAAAGCCAATTCTTTTAAAAACAATGCCCTACTATCAGTACGACAAAGCCTCCTCTGCCCGAGAGGGCAGCCCAACCCCATGTGGGGAGGTGAATCTCCCAGGGCCACAGAGCAGGATCGGCCAACCCCAGGAGAAGCGCCCAGCCGCCATCCCTGCCTGGCAGGGTTATTTATTTTTATAAATAACTCAAGGCTGCGAACAAAACTAATACTCCTTCCTCCTCCTATTTTCCCCACAACAATAACTCTGTGAAGTTGTACTGAGAGAGACTGACTGGCCCAAGGTTACCCAGCTGGTTTTTATGGCTAAGGCAGGATATGAACTCACTGTCTCCTGGTTTCTAGCCTGGTGCTTCAATCACTAGGCCAAACCGGCTGAGCTTTTAATGTTGAGGCAGACAGATGAAGATTTGTCACAGTTTCCAACACATTACTGATGCTTTCTGATGTTCCTTTCTAAGCTTTTACTGCTCATATTTTACTCTCAGGATTGCCAAAAGTTGGAGATAATGAAAAACATTACTAGAAACACAATATTGACATGTCTTCATTCTGAAGAAACACTATACACACTTCTGCTTCATAGATGTACTTGATTTTTATAGCCTTACTTAGGCTTCCTTGTCTAATTCTTTTGTTTCTGTACATTCAAGAGAAGAACTGGAACCAGCTTTACACCTGTCCTGCAAGGGCAGGTGAGATTATAAGAATAACATAGTTGGAAAGGGTCTTGGAGGTCTTTTAGTCCAACCTAGTGCTCAAACAGGAGAGGAGACTCCATACCATTTCAGACAAATGGTTGTCCAATCTCTTCTTTAAAATCTCTGATGGTGGAGCATCCAGGAGCAGCTTAAGAAAGAGCAGGTCTCCCCTGTCATTCATTTCTCCGATACAGAAGGCATGGGAAATGGTCCTTCCTATAAATCTTTTTGACAATCATTATTAAGCCTGTAAGAGACAAATACATATCAAAGAGTCATTCTTTCCAGACATTGTTAATAAGTTTGGACATAATTTCATTCCTAGGTTTATGACCTGGAGAAACCTAAAAATGCAGTTCTGCATTTATGCATCAATCAAATAATGCCATGGGCAGAATCTGATTTATTCTGATTTCAATATATTTCAAACATTGACAACACCCTTGATAATCTCTACTGAATGATAGGAGACACGTCCTGTGCCAATGTGTTTAATCCAAATAAATAACTTGGATATGCAGTTCTATAAAGTTTTTATATATATATATACTAAAACCCCAAGTAATAGTTAAGGCTAATCTGCCATTTTAAAAAGACAAATTGAAGACAAATCAAAAACATGTTATTTAGTCTGGTTGTAAAACAGTTTTAGTCTGGTTGTAAAAAAGAATTACTCTTATTTTAGTGATGACACATATGATAACTGTTGTATCGGCCGATCGATCACAAAGAGACGCGAGGCAGTGACTGGTTTTAAGCTCTTTTTATTTCAGGTTTGAATCTGCCTCCGGCTGAGTATGCGGGGGCTTATATTGAACTGGTGCCGGGTGCCACGGCCAATGACAGCCGTTCAAATCACTCGCGATCGGCTCGGCCAATCGCGGTTGCTTTGTAACGGCCAATCAGTGCCGCGCACTCGGCCAATCCGGTCGCTGTGCGTTTAGCCAATCAGGAGTGCAGGTTTCCAAGAATGCAAATGTCCATACAGAACACCCCTCCCCTCTTGGTTCGGTCCTACGTGATGTAGTCCCGTAAGTAGGTGGGGCTCCGTACTTGCCTATTGGACCTGCACAGGTTAGTTGTCTCTTGGCTGCCGGCCGTTCGGTCAGGGTCTGTGTCGCTCTCCACTTCGTCGATGGAACCGCCTGGAAGGGTGAGTCAGGCCTCTCGCTGCAGCTCCCTCCTGGTCTACCCGGGCTGGTTGAGCTGCTGGCTTCACTGCTCCCGCTCGAGCTTCCCGGGCTGGTCGAGCTGGCTCGGCTGTTTCTTTCAGGCGAGGCTTCGAGCGGGTCGTCTCCTGGTGCTTCGGTTGGTGAGTATTCCTGGTTTCTTTTTTGATGGGGATGTCTGTTTTGTTCCTCGGGGTTTTCCCTCCCCTCTTGGTTGGTCTTTTGGAGTTCCCCTTCTGCTCCTGGTTCTCCGTTTCTGTGTGATTGCGTGTCGGTTGTATTTCCCGTGGTGGTTCTCGATCTCAGCTGATCGATGTGTCGTTTCCATGCTCGACCGTCATTTGTTAGTAGCCAGTACGAGTGGGGACCCGTTACCTGGGTTATCGTTGCCGGTATCCAGAGTGGGTCCCCTGTGAAATTCTTCGCATATACCGCGTCGCCTGGTGTGAACGTCTGGTGCTTGCTGGAGGAGTCGGGGGGGGGTTCTGGGTTGTATGTGGGGTGCAGCCGATCGAGTGGTGATCATAGCTTTCTTCCCATGAGCAGCTCTGCCGGGCTTTTGTTCATTGTTGTGTTCAGGGTTATGTGTTGTATGAATAGCATTCTGTTGATCTTGTCCTGTATTTCTCCAGTTTGGATTTTTTGAATTGTCTTTTTTGTAAATTGGACCATTTTTTCCGCTCTTCCATTCGCCGCTGCGTGAGCCGGTGCTATCAACGCGTGCCGAATCCTCCATTCCGCCAGGAATCTTTCGAAGGGTAGCGCGGTGAACTGGGGCCCATTGTCCGATACGATTACACCTGGGAGGCCGTGGGTTGCGAATAATTTGCTGAGTTCCTTGATGACGGCTTCTGTGGTGGTTGTTCTCATGTTGCTTACCTCCAGCCAGTTGGAGTAAGCGTCTACTGTCACCAGGAATGTGTGTCCTCTGGTGGGTCCAGTGAAATCTATGTGAATCCTGGACCATGGCCCTCTGGGGGTTTCCCATTCTAGGATTGGGGCGGTGGGAGGGCTCGGTCTGGATTCTTGGCACTGTTTGCACGATGCCACCCAGGCTTCAATTTCTTTGTCCATCCCTGGCCACCAGGTGTGACTTCTGGCCAGGGCTTTTGTCCTAACGATGCCAGGGTGCCCTTCGTGCAGCATGTCCAAGACTCTTTTCTGTAGTTTTTCCGGGATTATGACTCTGTCTCCCCACAGTAAACAGCCCTTTTGTGTGAAGAGTTCTGTTTGGCGGCTCCGGAAGGTTCTGAATTGTTCATCATCGTCCTTTTCAGGCCACCCTTTCTCCACCCATTTTAAAACCCGCGCCAGATGTTTGTCTTTATTGGTTTCCTGGGCAATGTCTGATGCGGTTAGGGGGAGGTTGGGTAAGGTCTCTATACTCAGGGTGGACATGGCGGGTGCTGGGTCGGCATCCAGGTCAGGTAACGAGGTGTGGCTCAATGCATCTGCATGCGAGATTGACTTACCGGGGCGACGGTCTAGCCGGTAATTGTAGGCGGCGAGGAATTCGGACCACCTTGTCATCCTTGGGGATAGGATGTTCGGGGTTGCCCTGTCCCCTGCCAGGCTTCCGAGCAGCGGTTTGTGGTCTGTGATGATGGAGAAGGTCCTGCCGTAAAGGTACTCGTGGAACTTCTTTACGGCCGCGACGATTGCCAGGGCCTCCTTGTCCAGCTGTCTGTAATTCCTTTCCGGTTTTGAGAGAGTCCTTGAAAAGAAAGCGATGGGTGCTTCTTTTCCATCGGCGAGGGTGTGGCTGAGGATGGCCCCGACGCCGAAGGGTGATGCGTCGCACGTTACTGTTAGGGGTAGTGTCTCGCTGTATTGGATGAGAACAGAGTCCGATGTGAGCAGGTCTTTTGTTCAGTTGAATGCGTTTTCCTCTCACCTTCCCCAGCTCCAGGTGGCTGTCTTGTCGAGCAGCCTATGCAACGGTTCCGCCGCGGTTGCCTTTTGGGGCAGGAAAACATTATAGAAGTTAATCAACCCCAGAAACGCCTGCAATTCGGTTTTATTTCTTGGTCTAGGGGCTTCCTTGATGGCTCTGATTTTTTTTTCTGTTGGGTGGATCCTGTGTTGGTCTAGGAGGTACCCTAGGAACTCGACTCTTTCTGTGTGCAGCTGGCATTTCTCTTTCTTGACTTTTAGCCCTGCGTCTTTGAATCTTTGAAGCACCTCCTTCAGGCAGCTTTCCAGTTGTTTTTGATCGGCCGCTGACACCAACACATCGTCAAAATAGGGCACTACCCCTTTGTTGCAGCGGAATGCCCTGCAGTGGGTGACTATGGTTTGCGCTTCTGCGGTTTCCTCGTTGACCGGCAGTTGCTGATAAGCTTGTGCCAGGTCGAGTTTGGTGAAAATCTTGCCTCCCCCCAGTATGTGCAGAAGGTGCTGTACCACTGGGACGGGGTAAGCACTTTGTTGCAGCGTGCGGTTGAGGGTGGCCTTATAGTCACCACAAATTCTCACTGACCCATCTGGTTTTACCAGGGTGACTATGGGGGTCTCCCACCTGGCATGGTCCGTTGGCTCGAGTACTCCCTGTTCGATGAGCTTATTTAGTTGCTCGTCGATCTTGGGCCTGAGTGCAAAGGGTACTCGCCGGGGTTTGAGGCGGATTGGGGCGATGGTAGGGTCTAGGCTGAAGGTTATCGGGGCCCCTCGGTACTTGCCTAGGCTGCCGTCGAAGACCTCTTGGAAATCCCGTGTGAGCTGCTCCTCCCAGTCCATCTCGGCGATGTGGTTGGTGCCGGTCACCTCTATTCCCAGAGGCGTGAACCATTGTAGTCCCAAGAGGCTAGGGCGGTCCTTCTCTACGACGGTTAAGGGAAGTATCTCGGTGTGCCCTTTAAATGTGACTTTAAAATGTCCGATTCCTACCACGGGGATGCGGTTCCCCTGGTAGTCCTTGAGGATGAGTTTCTGGCTTTCCAGTTCGCGCCGATGTATGGTTGGCACCAGACGCTTGATTTCCCGCCATGCGACCATGGAGAGGTAGGATCCGGAATCTACCTCCATTTTGCATGGGCGGTCTTCAATGGCCACCTCCATGTGGACCTTTCGGCCATCCCAGTTGGATGAATGGCCGATGACGACCGTGTGGTGGGTTTCTTCTCGTTGTTGGGCCTCATTGAAACGCCTGTTTCTTCCTTTCCGGCTCCACCGGCTCTCGGTGTTTTGGTCTCTGTTCCTCGGGAGGGTGCCATCTCATCTACGCGGGCTGCTGTCTCGGCACCGGGGTGTGTGGTTCCGTTTAAGATGGCACACTTTGGCGATGTGGCCCCGTTTGTCGCAGTGCCAGCATATTGCATCAAGGAACCGGCATTCCGACCGTGGGGGATCGCCACCGCACCCGGCGCATTGGAACCTCGACTTACGACTCCGCCACTCCCGCCGGTCTCGTTCCGTCTGGAGTCAGTGGATGTCTTCCTCGTTGTCTTCGGAGTCAGTGGGGGAGTCAAGGCCACCGTGGTGTGTGGAGGTGGTTGCTCGCCGGCTGGTCTCGGTCTGCCTCTCGGGGGTCGGGGTCATCTCGGCCATTGCAGGGCGATCTGTGGCGCTCGTTTGCCGCATTCAGGCTACCGATTTCCTGGTGGCCTCCGCTGCTGTTGCCTTGGCAAGGGCGTCGGTGAGGGATATGTCGCCCCTCGCCATGAGCCGGTTTTGCAGGATGGGGTCTTTGAGGCTGAGGACGACACGGTCCCGCAGGGCTTCATCGAGATCAGTGATCCCGCACAGGCCCCCGAGGTCCCGTAGGTCAGCCATGAAGTCGCTGATGCTCTTGCCCTCCTTTTGATCCCGCCGGTAGAAATCATGCCGGCGGATGAAGGTGGGCACAGCGGGCGCATAGTGGCTTCACAGTAGGGGCTCGAGGTCGGCCAAGTCCATTGCCTTTACATCGAGGGGTTTGGCGAGGGCCTTCGCCATCTTGAACACTGCAGGCCCACAGTGGGTCAGGAACACGGCCCTTTTCTTCTGCCCATTTGCTTCTTTCAAATTGCTGCTCTCCAAGAACATGAGGAATCTATCGATGTAGGATTCCCAGTCCTCGGCAGCTTGGTTGAAGGGTGCG